CGAACCTCTCACAGACTACTATTTATTCAAAATGATCCTGATATCCGAAGGTTTTGGCTTGAATATTATATTAGACTGCAACCGGATATATTGTTTGTTGAGCAGTTTTCGGGCTTAATAATAGGGGTCTTTTGTGGAAGAATTGCTGCGTAAACGACGTTTCAGAATTGTTTGAACTTAAAATACTCATCAGTCCACAAACTTCTTTTCATTTACGAAGGTCTTTACCTTCCCAGTCTGCTAACAATGAGGAGGGACTTTCTCAGAATGTGAATCTATAAGTTCAGGTAATCATTTTTTCCGGGAAACTTCTTACTTTTAGTAACCGCTCTGGATGGATGCTTATTGTTTTAGTGTTTAGAATGGTCTAGGATTACTTTACTCTAAATTAGTTCTGTGATTAGTGATAGCTCTTTAGGTTCAGCTGACAGAGTTTTTTCCGGACAGTCTTCAATGAATTGATAACAGAAGCATACTTATCTGATCTCACATCTAAATCTGCGGTAAACTTCTAGAATTTCGTAACAATAAGATTCGTATTCTGGTGGATAAATTGGAAATCCTAATCATCCACTTTTCTGTCAATATCAGTAGTGGGAAGTTAAAGTGCTGCTTTCCCACCTCCACCCTTTTTCTTTTTTAATGTGGCGTTTGGAGCTGAAATTTAGTGCATCCCGTAACGAGATTTTCTTTGTTGATGATTACGACGCACATCTGATTTTTGATGGAAGGCTGCAATCGCGAGTGCAGGTTTGAGGTAATTTCTTACTGGAACCATCCTTCTCTTTAGTACCATTAGTATTTGAAATTAGTGGAGTGCAAAATTTCATCAGGACTGGTTTCTTTATTCACAAGTTATTTTTAGTGACAGCTTTTAAGATAGCCTAAAATCAGAGCAATCTGTAATTAAGGAAGAGATGCTTTCGGCATATGGTTGGATACTATGTAAAGAAATTCGCAATATGTTTACCAATAAAATCAACTTTGGTAGGTTAAACTACCAAATCTGTCTCTGGAAAACGGTAGAGGGAAGTAATAAGTATTCTTACTCCGTCATGAAGAGAAAAACTAACCTTCATCTAAGTATAACAGGTCTAAATACTTCAACATTTCAATACACTAACAGATTATTAGTCCAAGAGTTCCAACCTGACATTTGCCAAATAGGAGAATTTTTATGCATACGAACCTGTTGTTCTAAGTAATGAAGGTCCAAGCTATGCCATTCTAGAACCAGAGGAATTTTAAACAGTTAGAACTAAGAAATTTACTGGGTCAGAGGGCATCTACCTAAAGTTGCTCACAGCTTGTGTTATCTCGTGCTTTCCCTTGACAGTCCTTTTCCGTTGCTTGTTCTCTGAAGGTAAGTTGTCCTCTTACGGCAAAAGTTGTAGTCTGTTCGTTACATAAAGGTAGTGGCACATAGTTCTTCAGACTGTAGAACCATGGTCGTGGTGTCGTGCGTTGCTAAGGATTAAAATTCACGATGATGACTCAGTAGCTCCTAATCTACATTCTATTATTTATAGACTCATTAGGGGACGTCGCATGTTAATAGCTCATCATTCCTTACGCCCTAGCAGAGTACTTTTACTACTTAGAAATCACATTTCGGAGGTCTCCCTTTGAAAGTAGAGTGTGAAAAAGTGAAATTTTTCCCACTCAGACTTAATAAACTATGGAATTCTGTACTTGAAGTAATTTTGATCTCTACTTCGACGAGTACTTTCAAAAAGAAGCTAGACCTAATTAGAATTTTATTGTACCGGTGCATTCTAAAAGCTTCCTTCTTCTTCTGGACCTCTAGTAACACTATGTATAGAGGAAAATTAATATACTCACTAATCTAGTTCTTTCAGGTGTCAGGCTGAAATGAACAGTTTTCATTACTTTTTCCCACAGAATTCAATAGATTTGCCGTTATCTTCTTCGACTAAAAAAAGTTTGGAGTGTGAAATTCAGTTTTTAGGCACTAGGATAGTACGAAAAGCGAAATATGTTAATCATTGCGGTAGATATTTAATGTATGTTTATTGATTTATCATTATTTTAAGATAATAACTCCAGGCAGGAAGTACTTCGGTCGTAATTTGGAAACACTGCGGAACGTATGGTATGACATCACAAACCCCTCAAAAATATTATCATAAGTTATCGAAATTTCAAAAAGCATCCTAGCATGTTGCTCAAAGCATCTGAAATTTCTGAATTCCACCCGGACTTATCTCCCTAAGGTTCTATAGTATGTTTGAACTTTGAACGCATTTGTACAGATGCAGCCAAACTAATGTCCCAGGATATAACCTAAGATTTTCATGTCGAAGATTAGAAACTAGTGTCTGCAGAAAACCCACGCATTTCATTTGGTACTTAAACTTCAGGTCATCTCATGTCAGTTAAAATAAGTTTCATGAAGTATTTCAATAATAAAGCGAAGTTTTTAAGCAGTAAAATACAAAGTCTACTACAAGAAATCAGACATAAAAAACGTGGGTACTCCACAATTATCCTCGCAAATTAATTCAAAAATGTGTGGGATATTATAAGAAAAGGAGAAACACATACAGATAATGTAGTTACTAATAGTGGCAAAAACAAGTAACAAGAATAATAACCCTACGGGGTATTACCGTTCAGTTGAGGCACCTCAGAAAGTTCACGCATGGTTCTTTCGAAGCTGGGATTCAGGTGGCATTTAAGCCTACAAACTCATTGAGTAGCAAGCGTTGAAGGCTTAAAGGTCATATAGAGCCGATGAACAAAGTAATTTAATTTATCAAATTCTATACACAGATTGTGAGGTTTAGTTTATGGATCTAAGTAGCTAAGCCGAATCAGGATAATAAAATGCTACAATGATACAAAATGATACACCCTGGTAAGGTACAGAATCTAGGGAAAAGCTCAGCTGTTGCAGCGCTTACAACCACGCGATAAGATGCAATAAAGTGACAATCTTTAGAACTAACTTAGTGGGGTGGACGGAGAAATCGATCACTGAAACTTTGTTTATCGAACCAGCACCAAACTCAATACCTATCCTAAATATTTGGAAAATTCTGCTACCTATACGACAAACAAAGAATATGGAGGAGAAATAACACCATAAAACAGAATGTGAAAGGTCTGCAGTTACGTTTAATAGGAATATGAATAAAGAACTTTTCGAAACGTCTTCGTGTAAGTAGTACTGTTCCACCATGCGAAATACCAACTAAAAATGTAATATGAAACTCTGAGGAAAACTTTATCCGTAGTGTAAACCTCGATTATTGTATCTTAAAATACAGTGTTCGCGGTACATCAGCGACAGAAACTGCATTATATGTCCACTGGCAATGTACTAAACTTGTTTATTCGTTTATCTTAAGCTGCATGGAAGGTTTTCAGTAATCTTCTAAATTAGGCATAGGATTATGAGATCAACTTGTGTCTTCCGGTCGTTAAGGTAGGATAGGTGGAGTCTTCCAGTTCACTCATTGGCGTGGGTGAAGACTTCAGATGTCGTTGTTTGTACTGACCATTCTTAATCCTCACTGTGCTATCTAGCTGGACAGCATATAGAGCCGTTTGCGAAAATTGACATAGGTGCAAAGTAGATTTTCTACCCTAAGGCATGAATTAATTTTGCGTAACTTTCAAGAGCAAGAAGTGTTAGCTTGGAACAGGTTCCGTACGATTTTCTTTGTATATTTGCTTTTTATATGGTCGCATCGGCTACGGAAAGAAATACGGTGAAGCATAGCAACTAATTTCTTCCGGCCCGTTCTTCTAGCAAAAAAGCATCACACCTGAAGAAAACCCTGTTGTGTAGTCAGCAGCACGACTTCACTCTTGCTTCTCTATCATATCTCAGTTATATACGCTATAGCGATAATTGCTGTTTTGTCCCACCAATATCCAACGAACTTTTTTGGCATCAGTAATCACAAAACAAAAATGTTCTAGTCAGCATAGGTAACTACCGCATTAAGGTAGCAGTGGTTAGTCTGGACTTTCGATGTGTTTACTCTAAGTCCAGTCTTATCTGTACTAAAATGCATGGAAAATCTATTTTCATTTTATTTATTAATACTATTACCACAGTGAAACAGTACTATCCTTTGGGTAATGCTTTGGACATAATTTATTGTCCATTGTTATAGCAGGTTAACCCCACAACTTTGAGACGTTTTTCATATAATTCTAGTTTTCTCATCCCTTTTTTATATGGCTATGGGCAAAAAATTGTTTCCAAAATGTTATTTAATAAATAATACTATTTCATTGTTGGTTACACCTACTAAACAAAGCAGAATGGGATTGAAATCTATCACGGTTCTTAATTTTCTACTCATTAATTCGGTGGTAACTGTTCGTGCTTTTTATTGCCGGATAGTCTACGGAAATACTTATTACTTATCTTACCACACTGTTGTGTCGTTTTAGTGGCTTCATTCGCAATGACTATTTGAATGCACATAACACTTAGTGACCACCAAAACGTACGATTGATCAGTATCCGAATATACTGACACCTTTTCTCACTTTAAATGACTTTACATCGTGTAAATCACATCTTGTTTATTTATCTGTTGATCTTCTATTTATATACTTTGATTTATAAGAAATTCAGTTTTAGAGGTTAGGCCTTAATGAAAATATGTATTCGCTCAAATAGACTCCTATTTCTAATATTTTACTCATAATTTCTGACAAACTAGCTTAATTTCTATGAAACACTTAAAGGAAGGTGATATTTTCCATTGTTCGATCAAGTTGAATTCAACATGAATTTTAATGAATTATCTGCTACTTTAGTTCATTATTTAAATGGTACTTGTGTTATTGATCTATCACTTGAATACCTTGTCTACTTGTTGTAGATTTTATGTTTTAAGTCACTTTGATATATGTGTGTGGCATTTTAACCTACTGTTAATTCTTGTTTTCTGTCCGCCCCCATTCTCTAGCTGGTTCTCGTCTTCACTCCTTTCAAAATAAAGTTGACAGACTATTCAATGATTCTCTGGTTCTTTCTGTTGGGTTTGTGCCTTTGTGTTTATTGTGATATTGAAAAGTTGGATAGGCATTTCAATTTAAGTAAGTGTGAACGAATTTAAAGATATTTAATATATGTCTGGGAAACTCGCTAGATTCGAACTACCTTTGCAATATTGTAATAATAAATAATTCCGTATTCTAAGAGCTTCTTTCTCCTATGTTAACTCATAATATAATGTGGCACCACAGCTTAATAATACTATTCTGAGAGTTAACGAAGTTTACTCATTTATGGGTCCTGAATTGCTCGTACTGATACAAAAAGTTTTATGAAATTCAATTCATGTGGTCATCATAAGAACTGAGTTGTGATGCATGAGAATGCAGTTACCAAGTCTTGTTTTTCAGTCTTTTTCTGAAGTTGCTTCAAACGCTTGCGTATCCATTGTTTTGAATAGCCAAAATGGTACACTCAGTTCACTTATGCATATCCATATCTATACAATAGTCATGATTTTAACACTGACTAGTGGCACGAGAAGAATGATGGAAAAATGCGGAAAAAATTTGTAATGCACATGTATGTTACTAACAGTGGATTTGGCGTACGTGCTTAACGGTTCAAGTTGCGGTATTGCTCGTCACCACTTTGACATAAAAGCCCAGAAGCTAAGATAAAGGGAGCGGAATAGTATCACTAAAAGTGGCAGAAAGCCATAAGATAGAAAGGTGGTGTGGTAAAGCAAATAAGAAATTGCTATATATGGGCTAGTTAACATGGTGATAAGGTGTGGGCAAATCTGTATCACTGCGATCAGTTCTGAATGATATCACTAAGTCTCCAACAATTGGTTCTTATCATCTGGACTCTGAGAGTCAGAGACATCATGGATTGGTGCCATATCTTCGCTTGAACACCTTCAACCTTACTTCAGCTAATATAATGCTTTTGAGAAGACAATGACTAGCTTTGCCTAAAACATGTCCTGTCCACATGTCACATATGCCCACTCACTCTCTTTTATGAAACACTATGTTAACTGAAGTACAGTTAGGTAGGGAAAAGACTAACAGTTGTCGAACTCAGACTCTCTCAAACTCTCGTTTGGTTTGAGCAATGTAGGCTGACAGGTCGGGATTCGCTAAACAGTCGAAACCGTCAACCTGAGACTAAATGATAGCACGGATTTGTTCTTAAGAGCTTTTTCACATATCAGCATCCCATTTAACCACTATTCATTCCTTCTTGTGGCTTTTTATGGCGTGATTACGTTTCTTTTTCATATCTCTCTTCTCGTTGCCTTGTACCTTGATATGTTGGTGTGAAGTGTGGCAACTTCAGGAGATTTCACCTGTTGGAATAAGCATTTTACCTTCAAGGAACGTGTTTCATACTTGAATCCCCCCCCATCTACTTCTGTCTGAGTAGCCGTGTATTATCATAAGCTCTCATAAACAGTGTGGCTCACTGCATCTAGTACTGAGTTAAATCTCAGTCATAATAGGTAGCAACTTGGATGGTTACTCAGTGTTATCAGATTCCATGTTGATATTCGGTGAATAAATAATTAAGATATCTAACTTTTTGTATGTTATTAGGTAATTGTATGCGTTATTCTATTCATTGTAGATCCTCATAATCCCGAGTTCACTCTTCCAGAAATACAACTTGAGAGTCAACTTCATCTATACTTCAAAAAAATTGATAGCAACCATGATGGTTTCATTGAACATAACGAGTTAACGGCTTGGATTCATAAAACTTACGAGTGAGCCTAATATACTTAGCCTTTAAGACGTGATTAACTTTGGATATGTAACATAGTATTTATTTTGGGGTGATTGTGAGTATACTTGCCTGTATGTATTGAGTTGGATCAATGCCTATTTAACGGTCTAAAAAGCCAAAAGTTATCTTATGCGTAATACTAGTGCTACCATCACGTATGGTTTCTTGTAATAATGTGAGCTGCAACTGAAAATTCTCCTTACTGAAATACTCGAAATACGGAAATCATTGCACATCGTGACAATTTTAGGTATCTTTTGCTGTAAAATTGTTTTTATGAATAACATGGAGTTTACTTCCACACCTCAAAAATGGTATTCTGTAATGTGTGTCCTGGTTACGAGTCTTAGTGTTAACGACACCACTCACTGAGAGGCTGGTACATCCAACTAACGAGTTCCAAATAGGACGAAACACTCGCGCTGGATTTCACTGTTAATCACTATCCAGGATTAATATAATGTAAGTAAAAGTGTTTACTTCACATGCATTTTTGTAGGGAGCCACAAGTTTAAAATTTCATTTTAACGATATCTATTGAAATTCTTTCATGGATCACAAGGAGGCAAAAACCCTATTGTTGAGCAATCTATGCATTGTTTACAGAATGGAAATAAAAATATTTACCTACCGAAGTCTTGGTTGTTTCACCCATGTATCATTTTATAGATCTTGTCTAGTTTTTCGAATTATTTCTATTTGCAATTAGGCAATATTCAAAATCATGCAATGTTAACACCAGTTGTGTCAGACATACTGCCCACAATGTTTCAAAGTAGGACGGGTGACTTTATTAAAAGTATGTGTTATGTCGTGTATGCTTGTTTTTCTTGAAGGCCCATATTGATAACTCTAAATTAAAACCAGATATAACGTACATCTTGCAAATGTGGCATGAGCAATCAATATATTTAGCACAAGTAGGTAGTTACATACATCAAGTATTGAAAGCATGTGAACGAACCGTCACCGGGTGCGTACATGTTTATTTGGTTACTGAGTTCGTCAGTTGGATAGAGCTGACATTTATATGCTGAACTACCGCCTGTCTCGAATAGCCACTTCAGTCTAATCAGAAATAGGTTAGAAGAAAGTTAAAGTCAACTAAACCATGCTTATGAAGTCTCTGTTGATCTGAACTGTGTGGGAGAGTGTTGGCCATATGTGATCCTCGATAATTTAAGAACAGATGTTCGGAGTCTTTTCGTGGTGTCGCTGAAAATCTTTCACAATGGTATGGCTGTTAACACTTTATCATCTTCGAAATTTCGGGTATTTTCCCTAACCTTCATTCTTTCGTTTCTTCTCCATCTACATACTTTTATCTACTTTAATGTTGTTCCTCTGCTTTCCAATTCTTCTTCATATGCTGCTGTGAATTGTGAAAAATTAAGCTCATGATTGTGTGTGGAAGGTCCCATGTTGGCTTGTCTCTTCACACAGTTGACAGTTATGAACTACTCAGTCTCGGTAATTCATGATGGAATTATGTCGCATAAGGAAATTCGGACCGCCTTGGGTTTCGAACAGCGACCACCGGGTTTCCGGCCCGGTTCTACAGGTGGTCGCTTTTTGGAATCCCTTGGTGGCCCAAACTTTTATTTCATCTCCAATCATCACCCAGTATCACTACAAGTTGGTCAAACCACAGCTATCTTAGATAGTCAAAATTGATAACATAAGGAAATATGCAATGAATTCATCATCGTAATTATGTACTGTGAACAACTTACTTGATAATTGTGTAATCACATTGCCAACATACATCAATCATTATTAACCTTTGCAATGTATGTCTAAGTGCTACATATTACGTGATGTAGCCTTTGTCGAAGAGAGATAGTAACACTGCCAGTTGATATACATTAATTCGGATTCGCGTTTATGGGTGAATAGATAACCTACTGTTTATCCTTTGCGCCTTCGCCAGCTACTTAGATGCTCTTAAGAATTGTGTTTTAACATACTTTTACAGTTAGGTGTTTCCAAGACAAACAATACACTAATCTGTCTTCATTTTTATGAATCAGCTTCCGACTGCTGTGTCATTTATGTGTTTCTGTCTCCTTACCTACTGATTTTACATCATAGCTTATAAAACTGGTTAGCAGTATGAAAATTCGACAATTTCCTATCCACCATAATTTTTACATTGGTAAATAAGTGTACTTGTGCTATGTTGTTGTTTATGTGATGGACATTTTTAGTAGTCCTTGAACACAGTGCGACAGTTAACTTATATCATTGTTCATCTGTGTTTAATTTTTTACCTTACACATTCAAGTAAGTTGTGAAATACCTGTTATAGTACTTTATTTATTTATTTCATAGATCTTTGGATCGTGAACATGCTGAAAAGCAGCTTACAAAAATTCGATGTAAATAAAGATGGAAAAGTAACATTTGAAGAATATATCAGTCGTACGTACGAAACTTCTGAGGACGAGTTAAAACGCTCAAAAGATGATCAGTCATCGAAATTTATTCTAGAGGTTAATATTATTTAGTGTTTGTGTGTTTAATTGTGGAAAAGCCTGCTTTACATCGTTAGCTCATAACTAAAGGTATAACTTTGGTGTTACACTTGTTATTTTATGCACATCAAGCACGACTACTGTCCCCAGTCTAACAAACTATCGTAGTCTATTCGCTTGGCTTCACTTTCAATGTTTCATTTGTTCATGATATGACTACCAAGCTGAAAATATTGTTTTTAAGTATAACAGTTTAGGTAAGCGAGGGGATTCAGTTTAAGTTTGTGAAACGATCAGAGTGTTTAAAAAAAATTCTAAACCACCTTTTCTCTCGATGTGAAATTTCTTTTTGAGTGGGAACAGAGTATAACAAAGTCGACAATTAGTCAGTCGAAAATGTGTCATTCATCGACCAATGTTTTAAGGTGAATGTACGGCTAAAGTTTGCGCCTGTTCACTTCGCCAATGCCTTGATTTATTGTCTGGTCAGTATAAATAGGATGGTTTATTCGATACAGCATTCACTGATACAGTATAATCTACTGGATGATGTTTCGACCACAATTTATTAGTCATGCAAGTCAGTAAATTGCACCTGAAACGTTACGCAATAAATGATACTTTATAACTATGCTATATCAAACAGACAAATCTAATATAGCATTACATTCTTCTACAGCGTTCAAGTTCTGCTCTTATATCATTCTGACCTTAGGAGTTTGAACGAATTCTTATGCAGTTTTCTGCTATTTTCTCATTACATATTCATTCTTTTTCTTTGCCATTCAATTTTAAAGTGTAGCAAATTGAACTGATATACTTTTACTTCATACTGCTCATTAATCCAACCGGTCGATTCAACGTTTTCAAAACGCTTCCATACCTATCTAGTTTCGTCATAAAAGCAAGCAAAACAAACATACTCTGTCAACAGCCACGCACATTTTCACGCACTAGTCAATAAGCCACACCATTGTGTAGAGGTTAGTGATATTTCCTGACTGCCTGAACCTCTGTATGTAGAGCAGGTTTCGAACCCGTTACTTCGATGTGCAATGACAGCCAAAGTCGGACTAGGTTGGAAGAACGTTCATCAGCGTGGTTAGGCTGGGACGTGGCACCAGTCCATAAAATCCTTGTTTGTTGGTCTAAGTCGTGTAGGACTGTATATGCTGCTTGGTTGGAGGGTCCTCGAGATGATATGAGTCAGTGTTTGGCATCCCTTGCTGACATGGTTGAAGATTGGTCACAATGGTGCACATATGCACACTCTTAGGCGTCTTCCGAAGCCTGAACATTTCTACTTACCTTTGTTTTCTCAAATATTCAGTCCTCCCATACAACTTTGTCTATCAGTCTTTTTCTACTCATCTGTTCTTTTCATGCTACTATGAAGTGTGGCAACTTGAACCGATGCTGTTGTGCGCGAAGTTCTACGTTGACTTCGTCTGTCTGTCTGATTGGTTGGAAGTGATCCGCCTAAACCAATGAGCCACAGCTACACTCCGTCAAAAAGCATGCTATAAATAGGGAAAGTGATTTATTTTGCGAAATTCTTTAAAAATTAGTGCATAATGCTGTATCAAATCATTCAAAGTAGAAAACCTGTTTATTTGAAGCATTCATTTATTTCTCAACAGTTGCCAATTTATGCTGAATAGTAGGAATATGATGCTTTTTGTAATTTCTTACAGTCCTTGAGAAGTGAACGATCACGTTTCAACTTTGCTGATAAAGACGGTGATGGGTTGCTGGCATTAGACGAGTTTATTATGTTCCTCCGACCTGAAAACTATGAAGATATGGCAAATTATGAATTACAGAGAAGTTTTTCTAGCTTTGACCAAAATGGCGATGGGATGATTACTTTGGATGAATTTACCAATTTCTGTAAGTTTGTTTAGTCCCACTTATCAAATTTTCTGATTGCTTTACTGGTCTGGATAAATGAACCTGTATGTTGGTCACGTCGGCATTTTGTATGGTCACTTCAATAAGATTATGATTTTCATCGCAAGGTTCTCTACTTCCGATGCAGATGCGTCTAGCTGTATGTTACCATATGGAACAAAACACACATCCTTCATTCCATTACTGATTATCACAACAAAAATCAATACAATTTTAAAGTAATCTTAAAGAAAAACAACAGTAAATTACAGCATATATGTAGTTGCAACTGTTACACAGGAGATGGTTTTTCTAATTTAGTGATATGCTGGATATCGGTCTGGCACTTGACGCTATAATTGTTGGGTTCATGCCTTAGTGGGAATAGCATCCTTCACTAGAATCGAGGTATATGCAACTAACCAATCTCAAATAGGTAGAAATGCTCATCGTTGCTTTTTCTGCTACCCACCATTAAACAAAAATCTTACAGTTAGACAGATAGATGATGGATCAGCCAGTTAATATTATTATTTTAAACATCGAACTATCTATATATTATATATATTTCCCTTTGTTCTTGCCTTCAGTCTTTCGACCCCAATTACACGTTTCTACACATCCATCGTGTCTTCTCCATTAATAAGTCTGGTCCGGAATCAACTAGGGATTTGTTGAATGTTGGTGGCTGACATTCGATATGCGTGCATAGTTAGCGACCATACCGTATAGAGTTTTTCGAATCATATCACAAATATGATTAGAGTTTGGTCAAGTATAGGAATTTATTTAACAACATATCTATTTTTACAAAACGCATTGTTTATTTGGGTTTGATTTTCAGTCTCATAGTAACCCACTGATGAATTTATTGTCATCAGTAATAGTAAAATGCTGCATAATTTTTTTCAATTTTATTTGCCAAGACATAAATATTCTTATCATACTGTGTTTCTTCCAAGCAATTCTACTAAAGAATTATGAATTGCTGCATTGTTTATCTACAATCACTAGTTTACGAATCCTTGTTTTGATCCACTTTCATATATCCAACTCAGCAACCGCATGTAGATTCGTGCACTAGACCATAGATCACATCTAATATTTGAAAGCTAATTATAGCAATTGGCTCATCATCATCATCATCATCATCATCATTATCAACATGGAACCAGGCATTGCTACGTAATGGTCCTAGTTGCCACACCTCATATCAGTACATTAAGTAAAAGATGAAGATAAGAAAATTCAGTCAAAAGAAACATAAAGTAGGAAGAGAGAAAAAGGAGGAATGAGAAAATAGTGAGATTTGGTATAGCTTCGTTAAGATGAGAATAATGTGTGTATACATTTAAACCACTGACATCGGTTCTGAGCCATATCACCTAGAGTCTTCAGTTACTAGTTTCTTTTGTCCCGTGGACCTCGACCGGCTAGTAATTGGCTACCTAAGATATGGTAGGTGAATCAACGTTCGAACCTATGACCCGTGTATCGAGTGCTTAAATGAGAGAGCCACCAATTTTATATAAAGAAATTCTGGACACTTGCAGAATATAATTCCATATTAGTTTTGTCTCTTTAACGATTGTTTGTAGATGATCAGGCGGAGGTAGTCATACAACTTTCGACAGGGTTCGTATAACTATCTCACCTGTAATTCTTCGGTTTTAGTAACAATGGAATTTTGCATATGTCCTGAATAGGTCTTCCGTCATTTTCTAACTAATATATTGGTTACTAATCCTGTGAACAAATATTCGTTAATCCATTTCCCCTTCCACACTGCTAGTCTTTAGAAGTGCTTCTCCACTCCATCCGATTGCTAAATTGTGTATCATTGGATGCATTGCAATGGCCGATTTTTTTCTATCATTCTAAATTCGGCCAAGTATCTATGTTCTATGAAGGTAGTTAACTTCATCAGCTCGTTTACTGTATGTGCTTGACTGCTAAATAATCCCATGTTATTGGCAGATCACGTGAAGCAGAAGCAGCTCAGATGTAGACTGATAAAGTGTTGACGCAACGATCGTGAGCGTATCTAAAAGTAAAATTAGTGGTCTGACATTTCGGAAAATTAGGCACAAAACCTTTCATGGAGGACCATCTTTCAATAATAGGTAAGAAATTATTTATTTGGGAATAATCTGATGAGGACGTAATCGGCATACAAACTGTCTGGTCACCAGCATACTTAACGAAATTGATATTAACTGAAGACGGCATGCCATACATAAAAAAGAGAAAAGAAAGGGGGGAAAGACAGCTCTTTGGGGGACACCAGCCTCAGTAAGTAATTAGGTGGAGCTCTTGCTTCCCTCTACAAATAGTATACTACTTCCTTTGGGAGAAATAAAAATGCAAGCAATTAATAACCCAGGACTAAGCTTGTGTCCTGGCTAGCTCCATCAACAAGAAAGGTCTTTGGACAGAATAAAGAGCTGAAGTATAGTTTCAAAGGACACGCCTGACATGCTTGATATTTTTATCGAAATTATGAGCAATATTGTTATCTAAGATAGTAGTGCCACCCAGAGTGCTTTTGGTTTTGCATACAGATTAATTAGAATCTTCAAAGCCTTCAACGAAGGTTCAAACATAGGTATTATTAGCTTCTATACTGTTTTCAAAAACTGAGAAGCAACTTCAATTGGATGGGATTTCAAACATGCACTTGGAATCACTTACTTATGTACTAGGACTATCTTAATATCTTTCTGGGCAGCTGGTACAATGTTTTCTAAAAACGACTTAAGAAGCATGTTAGTTAGTGGATAGTAAATTATTGTAGCACATTGGAAAGTCTGTGCATTGTGGAATGGATTAGTGTTATAAGTAAGTTTTTAATGTTAAGTTTACACACAACGATAATTTTTTTCTTTGTAATAAATATTGCTAAAATATTCCAGCTGTTGGTGGGATCACGGCAAATAATTTTGCTCGAAATATTACCAGAGTAAAAACTTATCATTGTGTGAAACTTTGCATTAAAAATTTATTTATAATACCTTATAATAACAGCACATCTAGTGGATCTGAAACTTGACACACCGAATAGATCCACTCTGTGAAAAGTTCAAAGATTTAAGACTTAAAAACATCTTTCTCGGTGCATTTAGGAGAACTGTCTTCATTAGAACTGGTCAGACAGAACGGGATAGGCTAGCTGAGTTGGCATATTAACGATTTTTTTAAAACGCAGACGTCAACACATGCTACTTTAATAAGGTGTCTACTATCAGTGATATCTTTTAAAAGTTCCGACCTCCAAGAAGAGATTTTACGTGACAAAAGATTCTGGTTATATGATACAAATATTTGATTTCTAACCCAGTTAAGTAGTTCAGTGAATGAGAAACAGCGTTATCACCCACTTTATATAAACTTTCTTTTTCTCTTTTTATTTTCTTGAGTTGAGGAGAAAATAGACGATCAAAGTGTAGAAGTGGTTTGTCACTGCAGTCAGGAATGTCCATGTAGCTTGTCACACTTCCGATAGTGTCGTTCAAAGCATCGCTGTCATATATATTCCAGCATGTGTCTTGCAGCATTCCTCTTAGTGGAAGTATGCTATTTTGTGAACGATTTGGTCAGTCGATATATGAAGGATATTTCGGGTAATTTGCCACATATTTTTGGCAAAACACACAATGTAGTGATCTGGGCAGAGGAGTGTGGCTGAATTTTGAATTTCATATCTATCTCTAGCATTTACAAATAAAAAGGCTAGTGTCGCAACCAGACAAGTCGCGAAGTTAACAAGTTTTCGATGATCAAGAATACTAAGAAAGCTGTGGTCATCAGTCTCATCGATAGCCGCTACCTTTATATGGCAGTCGGGCTTGCATATCACAATGACCCAACCAGCTACACTGGCTGGAACACTTATTTCTTCTAGGTCCTACCATGCCAGAAACGTCTGTCGGATGATGGTTAGACGAAAAGCAGCCACCGTTGCAGTGTAAATTACTACACTATGATGAGGCTACGAAGGCGAAGTCGTACTGTTGGCTGAACAGGGGTGTGACAGCAGTAAGGTGTTTCCCTTGGATAACCAGCAGTGGCACGCTGATGCTGCCTTCCCGAATGGGAAGGGGGACGGGGTTGGTAAAGGTCTGCCCCCAAAATAGCATATTCACACCTCTCAGCATACTGACGTCTGAAACAGGGATTCATAGTCGGGTTCAAAAGCCGAAAACCAAAATCTCAAACTTGCGAAAAGGCACTGTGTGGCCGGCTTCAAGCAGATGTCATACACTAATCCTCTCTTTTTCAGGTACATTAAGAAAAACTAGCCTTCCATGGTATGGGCAGCCGGGAAGTATCAACTGCCCGCACGCTCCCAGTAGTACACAAGACTCAAGCAGAAATGACCCATCCTCCTCAACTCTGTCTCCTCCTTTGCCTCCACCTCCTGACACTAACATTAAACCTCTTACACCTTCCTCAGCATCTCATTCTGTGACCATTGTGAATGATCAAGGCCATCGAAACCTCATTCGTAGTCTCCTAAGACTCGGTCGTCGATTTCATATAGGAGCTTTCAGCGTCCGAACTCTATGCCCAGTCGGACAGCAAGCATCGCTTTTCAAAACTCTGGAGTCTTTAGCCATGGATGTATAGTGTGTCTCTGAAACACGCATACAGGATCAGGGTATGGTTATTAAGTTGACTTCATCTGGACATAGTAGTGAATCTTCAAAATTCACCTTACCAGTATCCGGAGATTCAGTGGCCAGCTCTCGTGGACTCGTTGGTGTAGGCACTACATTGATTTGTAGGGGAGAGAGTAGGCTTCAGATTAAGAAATATAGCAAGCGTCGACCACCGGTAAGTATACTTGTGCTCCAGAACTTGTCGAAGGGTAAAAATGTAACTGATGTGCTCTCATCTAGGTCGGAAGCCTGCCCGGTTTTCTCGAATTTGCTGTTCTCGAGTTCCAGTCAGGCGTCGGATAACTATGGAGCCTATGGTCGAGGACAATATTGGTCAAACTAATTCCTCTATGGTTGTCACAGGAAGACTCCTCTTTTTTCTTTTAGACTGGAGTGAAATACACCAGTCTGACGGCACTACCTCTGATTCCCAGACACTACCTGGTACCCGCATCATTCTTATCAGCAATTTCCTACCTCCATCCCTAGAAACTTCAGGTGACAAACGGTCATGTGCCACTGCTTTACATCGTTTCAGTACAGTCTTTTCAACTTGAAGGAGAGTTGGAGGACCAACGTCTACGGCCCGTCCAGATTCAAGCTGAGTGTTGAGTAACTAAAGCGTTAGTGTAGACAAGTTAAATTGTGCTTCAGTGTATTCTCTCCAATGTTCTATCCATTTATCTCTGGAGGTCATCAGTGTCTCATCCTTTTCGGTGACGGTTTCGCTAACCATTGTCTTCGTCTTAACTCTAACTTTAATGGATCTAAATAGTTTGGTTTTCGGCTTTTGAACCCGACTATGAATCCCTGTTTCAGACGTCAGTATGCTGAGAGGTGTGAATATGCTATTTTGGGGGCAGACCTTTACCAACCCCGTCCCCCTTCCCATTCGGGAAGGCAGCATCAGCGTGCCACTGCTGGTTATCCAAGGGAAACACCTTACTGCTGTCACACCCCTGTTCAGCCAACAGTACGACTTCGCCTTCGTAGCCTCATCATAGTGTAGTAATTTACACTGCAACGGTGGCTGCTTTTCGTCTAACCATCATCCGACAGACGTTTCTGGCATGGTAGGACCTAGAAGAAATAAGTGTTCCAGCCAGTGTAGCTGGTTGGGTCATTGTGATATTCAAGCCTGACTACCACATCCAGCTGTTGGTCATGGAGACATACAGTCGCTGTTGGAAGCTTTGAGAAGACATCAGTTCCGTCATGTTTGCAGATATACTTTGCTGACGAGTACGAGAGAGCTCGAGACGTAGATGAAGTAATGTTTGTTGCTGATTCCCTCTAACCATTTTACATCAGGAAGGTGCACTGCGATGGTTGGTCTTTTAGTGAGGTAATCACGTCGTAAATTAATCGATGAAATTTGGTCAGCATTCAGGAATAGATGAGAAGTTGAAGTTGGTTACTCTCTAGGTAGCAATAAATGAATTAACAGTTTTTCATATGTATAATGTCTTTATTAACTTCTCTTTGAACGATTGTACAGGTGTGGGTATTATCTGTTACTCTGTTTTTGCGATGTTTATACTTAGCTTATCGCGGCATATCACAACAGAACTATCTTGATGAACAGTTTAAACTTTTAGATGTGGATAAAAATTGGATACTGACTCCGAACGAGTTACGATCGTGGTTATTACCTTGTAAGTTAACTAGTCAAAGATTGTTTTTGCATTGTTTAAAAGTGAGTGTAGGTTGGATGCATGATGTCGAAGAGTGTTGAGTTGTGTTTTTTGTGGGATCGAAAAGAATTTAACAATGAAAAACGCTCAACTTATCCTTTAGGTCAAATGATCCACTGGCATGTTTAGTCGAGGTTTGGTTTTTGTTCTAGTAATAATGTTCGTTAGGAAGATGTGCCTGGGACTTTGAAGATACACATCCATCACTGTAGATTTGAATGCTTGAAAATAAAACACATTCTATTCCGAGTTATTGGTGAAATGCATCGGTAAACATTTAGACTGATTTCGTATTGACTGTCTTTTGTCATTCAAATACCATGATGTACAAGTCTGCTATATTTGTCGCGTGCGTTTTAGACTGAACGTTTTTCGACTTACTGATTGAATTCTATTTATTTAGCACTGAAATCAGCCGCACAATCTGAAGCAACACGTTTAATGAATCTGACCGACTCTAATCAAGATGGTAAGCTAACATTGGATGAAGTCTTGGCTAAATCACATTCTTGGAAGGATAGTCAAGTTGTTAAGCACGCAAGATCATTATGGGATGAACTGTAATGGTGTACTCCTCTCTCTGTATACAGCACATCTGTACTGCATGTCTTTCTACCCCCGTGTCAGTAAATTTCTCCGAAAATTCTTATGGTTGCTGCATTTACTGAAATAAATTGACTTAAATATCATCATTTTGTATTGGTTATACTACTTTATTGTTGTTTTCACAGCTGTTTTGTTTAAATATTGTCCACTGTCATTTTTTTTCATCTGAAAGTTTTTCTTCATCGTTGTCTTACTGTTATTTGAAGATTTTTCCATGAATTGAAAATTCCTCTATTTGTTTTCATTCAGTGCGAGTGGTTAGTTGATGAGCATAACGTGTAAGAGGTCACCTAAGGAAATTCGGTTAGCCTGAGCAGCCTAACTTGTGGCATAGTGGATAACGCCTTGGCGTCTTAAGCGGTGCGTACGGGGTTCGAGTCTCGGTGGGAGCAACATACCTGGGGCGCAGGTACATCCAGCTGACGAGTCCCAAACAAGACGAAGAGCGCGTCCTGGATCTTTCTGCTAGGCACAACCAACCAAATTATCATAATTTAGCTTGTTTTTACGTTGTATGAGTCCATTTACCGCCTCAAAGAATGAAAAGCAAACGCTAGAAATTTGAATGACTGATCCACACCAGTCAATCAGTGTCATAGACAGAAGGCTAGGAGAGATGAAACAATAACGATATTCAGTATGACGATTAGAATGAAGGTAATATGTGGATGCATCTGCGCCAACAAATTCTATTCTGAACTTAATCACCTTGAGTTTCTAACCACTGGTTTTGGTTGCCACGCGGACCCTTACTAAAAAGTTTACATTTCTCTTCATAAATTAGGTCAACAGTTAGAGAGTTCATGGAATAATTCCTTGTTTTATTCTGGCCGGCTGTAACCCTATCTACGTTTGAACTTCAGTTAAGCGTGCACGACGAAGCAGACAGTGACCAGGCGTTCGTGACACATATCCTAGTCATCTGAGTCGACAACCGTTCACAGCTTCATTGACTGACCCTCCTTTTTCACCCAAAACTCTACACTTGACCTCTGCATTACTGATAAATCGACATCGCGACACACGACCGATGCCAGCAAGGTAACGGTGATAGAACAACAGAAGCCTTCTCGTTTCTCCTACCTTTAATGGACGTATTTCACAGCCAAACATTAGACCAAACCGAAATGGAACACAGAGTACACTTGACTCTTATTAGACAATTGGGCAAAAGCCAATCGGGGATTTTGTATGGGTGCAGATATTTCGTCAGTCACTGATCCAACAGGGCTGATCTGATTTCCTAGATAGGTGAGATGGTCAGTGCGCCCGACCACTTTCATTCCCTGTTGTTAGACGGGGCCTAAACATAAACCATTCTTGAAGCAACAATTTGCATTTGAATGGTGAGAAACGCATTTCAAATATTCTCAAATTGCTACTCGAGATGTTATTTCGCAAATCATAACTCAGTGTCAACAGTGAAGCGTATAAAGCACCTACTAAACCTGCATGTGACAATCATTCAAACTATCTTCAGTTATCACCGTTATTTTTACATATGAAGTATATTATCTTATCGTCATCATTTCGGTGTATCCTTGTTCCACTCATCTTTTTGCCACTGACTGATGTCCTAGTTTGTTTGCACCATCTTAACTAGCTAATCAGCTAACTCCAGAAAACAAAGAAGGGAAGATGGTCGATAAGTTTATCAACCTTCAGCGAATAAGGTGGCTTCGGCATGTACTGTGCATACCCAGCCACTGCCTACCTGAATGTGCAATGCTAGCAGAAGTTGTATTAGGTTGGAAGGAGGCTAAGGGTGGCCAAATCAAGATGTGATACCAACCCATGTAGTTTCTGATTTGGCCTGAGCTGTGTGGGAGGTGTAGGCTACCTGGTTGAGGTCCCGAGACGTTAGGAATCAGTGGTTGAGGATTCTTGGTGATATGGCTGGAAATCAGTCACGATGGTGCAGGTGTATCCAGTCTTTGATATCTTATGACGGTTGGATATTTGCACTAAACTTTATCTTAAAATTGTTTATTATCTCATACAGCTTTCTCTACTTCGATATCAGTCTTTCTCTATCCACTTGTTCTCTGAATGCTACTGTGAAGTATGGCAGCTTAAATCGATACACTTGTGTGCGAGGTTCTATGCTGTTTTTGTTTTTCTGTATCTGTGTTCTGACTAGTGCAGATTGAATAACAAGGAGGTTCAGCTAGTACTCTGGAAAGTATCGCTGTTGTCGCATGCTGTATCTCAGAGACCTATATGCAAGGTCACGGCCAAGTACTTCAAGTAACTACCTCATCCATCAGCTCAAAATGTGTATTCACCGTGCTCTTTTCCTGGAACATTTTCGCTTAAAAAAAAACTCGTTTTTGTGGTTTTGGTGTTGTGCTAAGTGGGAAGGCCAAAGGTACATTTGTCGACAAGATTTCCATCAACACTAGTCTGTTTGCTGTTAGCCTAGGAGTTCGGATGGGAGTGGGAAGTAACTGGCGTAATAAACAATGTCTGTTCGATCATCTCTGTCTATGTTTTGACTGACTGCGCTTCGAATGCATTGAAGAACGGGTTCTGTCATTAACTGGCTTGCTTTTCCTACCAATTGCACATGATAGATATTGTAGTACTAGCTGAGAAATTCATAGCAAAGTTCAGGAGTCCAGACCTAAAAGAAAGTCGTTTAGATGGCCAATGGAGATTATTTGATTGCAGGCTGGATAATTGGCACTATCTTCAGCTTCTTACAGATCTCAGCCTCTTTCTAGTTAGCTACTATGTTTGACACTACCATTGTCGTGTAGTATTTTTTAACCGGCACTCAATTAGATGATATTGTAATCATCTACTGATGGTGTGGGTGTACTCAGATTGCTGGCCCTTCCGGAGCGCCTATGTGGACTCTGATTACGGCGTAGCAGTTTGTAAATTCATTTTACCTTTTGGTGGTCATCAAAATCGCATTCCGGAAGGATTTGACATAAGTAAACTGGTTGCATTTAGTATTGCAGCTAAATATACAGCCCCAACAGATTCAAGGCTGGTTTTTGAATCTGTTGAAAGTATTCATCAGCATTGGGTTCACTTAATTGAATATGGCGAGTACGCCAATCCTCAATTTTTATAGACGCGTAGAACGCTGGGCGGAATAATCCGAAATGCATTTCACCTGGCCAACAACATCAGCCTCAATGTATTGATCTCCACAGTCAAACAACACTGGCCACTCAATGAAGTGGTTGTCTATGAGGGACTCCATTTCCTGAAGTTTTATAAGGTACCCGACTCAGACAAATGACTCTCGGCTCTTTATAAGGATGGCGGTGAGAGTGCAGTTATCGAACTGACTACATTGTAAAAGTAAGCAGGCTTAGAGTGTTCCATTACTGTAGAATGTAGTCATTGTTGTACCCATCTTTAAAGGGAATCTAGGTAATGTATGCTATGATCATCGGGTTATAGATTTCTTAATAGTGTGTAAAGTATTGACCACTATCATACTTCTCAGGCTGTGATAAACATGTGAGAGAGTGATGTGTTTAGAGGCAGCCTGCATTTCATCCATTGTGTTGATCATGCGTTTACCATGCTAGAGCTACTCAAAGTGTCACATATATTGTAAGTCAATGGTTGTTTCATTTCTCAATTTTGGAGACTGTCCTCGGTTCAATGAACAGGGCTGTAGTCTAAAATCATCTGTTCGAGGGGAGCATCTTTGAGCAGTTCTTTAACACCCTGAAAGCTCTATACTTCAACACCTCAAGTTGAGTTAAGATGTGCAATCACCTGTTTTCATTGTTCCAAACCAATACTAGAGCCATGCAGGGCTGTATGATTTCATCACTTCTCTTTAACTTTGCTGCGAATGATGTTCTTGACACAGTTCTGAAAGAGGTCCGTGTTGGTAGTGCAAATAAAAACTTTTCTACTTCGAGTATGCGAACGATATCATTTTTTGCTGTGTGACAACATACAGGCTACTCAAATCACACTCAACCAGTTAGCGACCAGTCTGCTAAAGTATCATGTGTACTTAGCCACGTCAACGTACAAAGTGTTTCTACAAGATTGTCAGGAGTCTTTACCTGCACTTATCCGTGATGGTGGACCGTTAGAGGTTGTCGAAGGATTTCTGTACCTGGGCAGTGTGTATGCTGATCGATGTGTGACTGCTGGGAATTCCAACCGGTTATCTAAAGCCAGAGGCGAATAAGCCACTTCAGGTCAGTCTAGGCGTCCTAAAGGCCTCGCATCTTGTCAGTGTCTTCTCTAAGTAGGACTGTCATCTGCGTACTCATTGTCTACTAAGAACTGTTTTGTGATGAGGTCAGTCCCACTAGTTAGATGAGGAGAGTGAGACTTCCGTTAGCACGTCTATATCAAAATTTATAAGAAGGCTGGATTGATGTCTTTGATGGATATCACTCAACGTCCATAACTCACCTGGTACCTCACTATATGGTAGAGGGCGAGTATTTGATCAATAAACCAGCGATCACATCTGAAACCTGGTTGGTTTTCTCGGGTTTGCTCTCCCCAAGCCTTGGGCGTCTAGTGTCTATGAAACCTAGAACCTTAGATACCATGTTCTTCGTGTGTGCTTGGTGGCTGGCAGTTGAATCCAGGACGCAGATTTCATCCTATTTGAAGTTCTTTAGATGGATTTACCTATACTCCAGCGAATGATGTTCCCACCGAAACTGGGACTCAGTGAGCAACGCCTCAAGCCCCGAAGCGTTATCCACTAGGGCACGATAGCCGACCCATGCAACAGGTATCAGTTATTGTTTGGTGTTTATAATCTCCCGTTGCTATGATTATTATTTGTCCCTTGGGTTCCTAGTAGAATATAGGACTTCAATAGCACGTCTCCATTTCACTCTCTTCTCTACAGTCTTTTCAACATTGCTCCACCGCTGCCCACAAGCTTTCATTTCTTCCTCACACCATCTCCTCCACGTCACCCTCAGATGCCCAGCTCGTCGTTTCCCCTTTGGGTTCCA